GTCCCCAGGGAGCCCCGGTGATGCTCACATGTAAAGGTCGTGCTGCAGGAGGGCTGCCTGCATCTGCTCCGGGCTCGGGATGGCTCCTGTCACCCCTCTCCAGCCGGGCTCGCTGCGGGAGAGCCGGTGAGAAGGGGGGGGGGGCACAGACCACCCCCCCTTCAACGCCCCAGCCCCCCCCAAGATCTCCACCCACCTCTCGAACCAGCCCCGAAATCGCTCCTCGGTGCCCAGGAGGTTGCTGTGCGGGTTGAGGACGTAGAAAGTGCTGCTGGGGTTCACGCCGCGGCTCAGCACAGACCCTGTCCGCTGCCGGAGCGGGGAGACTAGTGGGTCCCAGCCCAGGGCAAGGTTTGGGGGGGTCCCCAAACCCTGGGGATGGAGTATGTGGGGTGCCCCATCCCCTCACCTTCTGTGCCAAGGAGTAGCTGAGCAGGAAGCGCAGGGAAGGGAGCCTGGTTACGGGCACAGCCTTCAGGCACGCCATGCTCTCCCAGGGCAGCTTCTGCAGGTGCTGGGAGGAAGAGGAGGGGGAGGAAGGCGTGAGCAGGAGGGCAGCAGAGCCAGGAGGAGGTGAAGCGGGAGCAGGGATCTCACCTTATCCAGAACCAGGACGAGCGAGCCACCGCTCTGCTCGGCGCAGGCTCTCCGCTTCGCCGCCGCCTCCATTGCGGGGCTGCCCCGGGCAGAGGCCGAAGGCCACGGCTTGCACATCGCGGGGGGTAAGGAGGGGAGCGGCGTTCAGCACCACCTGCGGGGAGGAGGAAAGGGTGAGCGTCGGCAAAGCAGGGGTTCGGCTCCCCAAAATCCTGCCCCAGCCCGGGCACCTTGAGCAGGGTGGGATCCGAGTCCCTCCAGCCGCAGCGGCAGAGCTGGGGGTGCAAGCGGGCAGCTTCCTCTGCCAGACCGGGCTCGGGGCCGGTGGGGAGCAGGACTCCCCTCCAGCAGCCCAGCACCTGCGTCTCCAGGGTCTCGATGAGGCTCTGCAAGAGGTCAGAGAGTCACTGGGGGGGGTCCGGACCCCCCCAACCCTCTCCAAAACGTGCCTCGCGTCAGGGCACGGGGTGGTTTTCCCCCACCTTCATCCTGCGGTCCAGCTCGGAGCGGCGCAGCCACCAGTCTTGCTTCTCTGTGCAGCCGTTGGCTTCCTTCTGCTCCTTCTGGATGGTGTCGAAGTCGCTCAGCACCGAGCGCAGCGGGGCCTGGAGAAGGAAGGG